TGCTGAAACTAAGGAAAAGAAAAAAAGCACACTAGGCATGTGGGAGTGAAATATGCTTCTTGGTTTTGGGAAATATTTTGTATGTATTTTTTGTAACTAGAAAGGAAGCACTTAAAAACTGTTTTTAGAAATGAATGAATTTTTAACAAATATTATCACTGATAATTTTCAGGAATAGAAAAAAAAATTTAACCAAAAGCCAATTATTTCTACCAAAGCATGTTTAATTTTTAGTGTGTTTTTTTTAATTGAAAAAGAGAAAACTTAAACCAGCATGAAAACTATGTGTGAGCATTATTGCTTTGATTGGAAGCTCAGTTTTTAATGAAAAAGATGTTTTCATGATGGCATGTTTAGAGGAGGAAAACAAAAGCTTAGAAAGGCTGTTCAGGAGTAGCAGGAAATTAAAAAGCCACACAGAAATGGAGAAACTTTAAAGCTCTGCCATGTTAGCTGGCATCATCCAAACCCGAATGTCATAAGCCCTGCAAATGATCAGTAATTCCGACAGCAACTTCTTCACAGAACTGTGTCTCAGTGGCAAATACAGATTTTATTCTCTCCACAATACTCTCCACCCTGCTGGGGCCAGGTCACCCCTGGCGTGAGTGAGTGCAGTTTCCTTCAGCTTTAAAACCGTGTTATTTGTACGAGGGTTGAGATTGGTTCCTAATCTTTCAGTAAAATATGCCCTGGGAAATAGCTCACTCTTTCTTAGCCTCTGTTAGCGAAAGAAATTTGTGCAGAAAATGCTCTCCTGAGAGTGGCTTTTCCTCTTCCGTCGTCTCTTGCACAAAGCTCCACAGAGAACGGGGAACACGATGATTATGAGAGAGCAGGAGTGGAGAAGAGCACTGTCTGTGGGAAAGGTAACTGCTCTGCCTCTTGCCACGTCTGGGGCAGAAGGGTCGGGGAAGTTGCAGAAATAACAAGGGAAGTGGAAGCTCTTCTGGAAACAAACTTCTCTTTAATGGAGCCTTTTACAGCACTCCACCTGTTGGCTCACTACTGACCACGCACTTGCAAGCGCCTTCAAGCTGCTGAGGTGTTTACAGCACAGCCTGTGCAGCTCTGCAACACAAACCAGCTCTGCAATCCAGACAAGCTTGGAAGCTACCCAGGGATTTCCCGAGCTGGATCTTATGTTCTCTGGCATGACTGTGGCTGCAATTCCTAAGTCAGCAAATGGGATCAGTGCTGAGACTCGGTGATAATAATGACTTATTACTGCACTCCAAGACCAGCTCCATCTTCTTCTGGACCAGTTGCATATTCCTTCTGCTGACAAAAATGCCATTTTCTGTCGCCTAGTGCTGCAGTCACTGCCTTCCAAACAGATTGTGCTCTGGGTCTCTCTTCTGCGTTTTCAGCACTCTGCTGCCCTTATAACGACGTCCACTAATGCAGATATGGGTGAATATCTGGGTTTGATTTAGTGTGTCCATCATGCGAAAGCCAACACATAGCTTACTGGGGTCACATTTGTGCTGTTGGGCTGAATCATTCCTGTCTGATTCATATTTTGTGGCAAATAGCCAGCAGCTCCGGTTACATCAATGAGCTGAAGTATTAATAGATACTAATCTGGCAGTTCAGAAGGGAAAAATAGATGGCAGTAATAAGGATGTGTCATTCTCACAGGCTTCCACATCCTTCACAAGTGAACTTGTGCAGCAGAGATGGAACTGGGTGCATGGGATCACCTGTGCTGGTTAAGCAAAGCTAATAGGTCAAAGGTGTCTTTCTGTGCCTGCTTAGCATTCCCAGCGATTCTCTGGAGTGACGGAATATGACCCGATCATTAGATACTGCGGCTGGCCATCCCAAACTGTCTTCTTCCCCAGCGTTTATTTTATTTTGTTTTGCTTCCTGCAGGCCAGCCAGCTGGGAGTGTACCGGGCCTTTGTGGATAACTATGAAGTTGCTATGGAGACAGCAGAGAAATGCTGCCAAGCCAATGCTCAGTTTGCTGAAATCTCTGAGGTAATGTCACGGTGTTCAGACACACGAGCTGTCTGGATCTGACTAATGCCCTGCAATGTCACTCCTGTCTATCCTCCAAGTATCTTTGCAGCCCTGACTTCTGGAGGAGCTGTGAGCTCCTGTAGACTCACTGCTTCAGCTCATGTGTTTACAGCAATTTATACTTCGGGCTAATAGAGGTTATCACCTAGGCAGACTTTTTGTGCTGCCCCCACCTCGGGAATCTTGTAAAAACTGGCATTGCTTTGAACTTCTAATCTCTGTGCCACTTGTATGTATTTCTAGAAGGGAAAGCTGTGTTTGAGTTTCTGAAATATTTCTCTTGCTAGTGATGATGCTGACTGTGGTGTAAAAAGCCATCCTTAATGGCTGTCAGTGGAATTGCAGGCTTCGGTGGCGCAGAGAGGAGGAGAGGGTAGCTTTGCTCTGTTTAGAAAAGCAAGTGTGTCAACCGTAGTCTGTAATATTATTCCATTGGGCTGCTCTGATTTCTGCTCTTTAAGAGCAGTATCTTGTGTCAAATCATTTTGAATATTTTGTAGGCTTTCCAGGCCACCAGCTTTGCCTGCAGTTCATGGTCTCATTGACTATTTGTATTGTGGTTATTATATCTCAAAGAACTCAGTTGCCAAGAAAACATGAACTTCATATGTGTGTCCTTAAAAACAAGCAGATAAACAATCAGAGCTGAATAATACTGGGGGCATTTATTTCTCTGAAAAAACTCCTGAGTACATTCGATATTGCATGTCCCGTCAGATTTTTCTGATAAAGAGGTAAAATAAAACATGTTCCTTCGGTGACACGAGGGAAGCAAGGCTTGCCTTTTGGGACCTGCTGTACTGCTCATCCAAGTGCAACTGTCTTCTATTCTCTCCTTTTCTGAGGATTTCCATTGGGTTCTGGTCCTTTGCCTGACCTCTTCTATGCTCTAGTAGTGTCGACGCGTTAGTAAAGTAGCTTCCTCTGTGGTTACCGTTCTTTCAGTACGAAAGTGCATTTCATGGACTTTTCCATTTATTAATAGTAGTAGGTGTAGATAGTATTATGGTAGTCAGAATAGAGATTAAGGCCTCAGGGTCCTGGGCTCTGTGCAAACATGATCCCTCAGTTTTGCTTTTTTCTGAAGGATAATTCTGAAATCATGCTAGTATCTACTGTATTTGGAATGATCATGATGATACTTTTCCATTTGTGTCCTGGTGATGATTTCAGAGCTCAGCACATTAGCGCATGTAGCTTCATAGCCCATGTGCAAAGAGAAGAGTCACAGGCATTGTTCCTTTTCTGCCATGAAAGAGAGCTGACTTGTCCAAGGTCACTCAGCTCTGAGTACAGGTAAAAGGATTTATAACCGGGGGTACTGAATCCCAATCCTTTATTTTATTTATTGGTGGTGTACACATGCTGTGACAATGGCTGCGTCCTTATGGACCTGTCTTTCTCCTGCAGGTGATTTAAAAACTCCACCATCCCCATCGTTATAGGTGGTTCCCTGCTTTGCTGCATCTCTATTGACATGCACTCCTAAGAAAATTGCTAAATATTTGAGATGTGTGGGTGCCTCTGACGTGGCAATGGTGGATTTACCAAGAAGGAAAGCACATTTTTCCTTCACTGACTCAAACAGCAGTAAGGCTGTGCTCCATTCACACTTAGGCTCTCCTTTGGAGGAGCAGATAGTCTTATTACATTCCCATGTGATATTTCAAGGTGATTGATTGTCTACTATGTGGATTTTCTTTTTCTTTTAGAATCTAAAGGCTAGAAGCACAAAGGAATCTAAAGATCAGACGACAAAAAATTCCTTGGAAAGTGAGTGATCCTTGCAGAGGAGACGGTGGTTTGTCAGGACTGTGTGGAGGCTGTTGCCAAACCTCCACTCTCCCTTTATCTTTTTAAATGCTGGAAGGTTACGGATTCTCTGCTGGCTCTACCTGGGAAATCAGTTCCCTTTTGCTAAGTAGCAGAGCTCGTGCATAGTAAACTGCATGCATGCATGCATGGGGAAGCTCCTGCCCAGCTTAAAACCTTGTCAGTCCCTTTGGGCAAAACCAGGCCGACCAAAGGACTGCTGTGACTTCAAGAGAACATCTGCCACCCAGTGATAGCACAAATGCAATCCTACCAGTATTGCTGTATGTCTTTTCCCTTATGGTAGCATCTAGAGAACCTGGTCAAGATCAGGTTCCATGGTGCTTGTCTCTATGCACAGAAGACAAGCCATGTTGTAAGAAGTTTCCATACTTACTAATATAAAAGCCAATCCCCTCCCTGTTTTGCCTGTTATCAGGATTTGGGAGCACTTAACATGTCATGCTGAACTCCAGAAAGAGGGACGCACTGCCAACCTTTCAGGGGCATGCTTTGCAACTTTAAGAGTGCAAGGCCCGATTCTGACCTGTGAGGCCAGTCAGGTTTCCAGGGAATTGTCAGAAGTGTACCATGCTGTGTGCAGTTTCTGTATACTACCTTATGTGCTCCTCATCCATTGTCTGGCAGGGTGTGCTCACAAGCGGGCATCTCTTTGCTGTGGAGCATGTTTATTTCCTCTGTGTGTTCATAAATGTTTTATTGGCTGTGCAGCACATTAACCTTAGAGAAGGGAATTTTCCAGTAGATCACTGGTTAATAAACCTGTACGTTCAGTTGCATTGGACAAGTTGCTTTGTAGGGGCTGTATTTAGGTACCTCTTCCTTATGTTCTGCTTCTTTTTTTTCACAGCTCTCTTATACAAGCCAGTGGATCGAGTGACTCGCAGCACACTTGTCCTGCATGTAAGTATTCGAAGGGTAGTTTTCAAACTTTAGGCCCCTTTTCTATTTTCTTTGCCCTTCAAATTTTCCATGGAGCTGCAGGACTGCAAAAACAAACCTGTCATGCTGCATAAGAGCCTCTTCCCTTTACACTAAGGGGACAGAGTCCATAGATAGGACCCTGCTACCTCTTAAGTGGTGTTACTCAGAAGGGCAGAGTATTATCCTTTTCCTCTAGAGATAAAGCCTTGCTCTAATCTGTAAGAAGAAGCTGGAGCATCTTGTGCTACAGCTCTAGTTAGAGGTCCTCAGACCCTTCTGCTTTAAAGTGCTCTCATGGTTCTGTTCTTTGTTTGTGTTCCTTGTGTCAGGATTTGCTCAAGCACACTCCAGTGAGCCACCCTGATCATCCACTCCTACAAGATGCTCTGCGGATCTCACAGAACTTCCTCTCCAGCATCAATGAGGAGATCACTCCTCGTCGGCAGTCCATGACTGTAAAGAAGGGGGAGGTGAGTCTTCCTGCTTTCGTTATTTTCTCCGTTTCTAAACACTGGTTGTGCCTTTTCTGTAGAGCGAACTAGGAAGCTACGCTATTAATTTTTTTGTTGCTAAGATACAGTTTATGCAGTGTCCTTGTTTTCCAAAGGATGTGGTACGGCTCCTCTCTGTTTTGTGTTTGGAAAATAGTTTGGAAACCCAGAGGAAAAGTATGATTAGAGTTTTGTCATAATTGTTATAATAATTTGTCATACGTAATTTCTATGATGCATATTGCTATGCACTAAACAGATTTGAATTTTACCTGCAAACTGAATACAAACAGGAAGCCTGGGAGGAGAAAAAGGTGAGAAAACACCAGAAATCATAAAAGATTAGGAAAAGCTGTTTTCCAGAATCTTCATTCTCACCATAAAACTCTTTTTTTGCATCCTCATTTGTAAAGAAGAATGTTGTAAATGGGACTAGGAAGCAAAACAAATGGAATAGGTTGGGAAAGCTAAGGGAGGTGCTTGACTCCTAAGGGTGTAAGGTAACTCTTCTCAGCTCTGCTAGGAGCTGAACTACACCCAGGAAGTTGTAAGATGTGCAGTTTCTTTACATGCAGGCAATGTTGTGCAAGGAGCACATAGAGCTACACAACGGGAAAGTCCTGCATGCCTCAGTGAGCTTGGTTCATCTGCCTCATAATTTCATTAGAAAGCAGTTCCCTCCTCCCTGATCAGGACAGGACTGATAGAAATATTGAGAGAGAAGGATGTAGGAGATCGCAGAAAAGAGAGATGCAGCTCAGTATATACGTAAGAGGAATTGTGACAGTGGGCCAGAACACTGGCTGATCAAAAGTGACCCAAATTACTCTGTACAAAACCATCTCTTAGAAAGCCCAGGAGATTCTTAAGATACCATGAAACTTCATGATGTATTCTCAAATCCTGTCAGCTAAATGTGCTTGCTTTTAGCTGTTAAACTGATTTTCAGTTGTCAAAGATTTGCCAGAAGATGCAGTACTGGGAATTGGGTGCGCTTTGTCCTGCAAGTCTTGCTCATTGTCAACTGAGGAAGTCTGCAGCTGAGAAAAGGAGGGGCTGAGCAATTGGAGGCTGAGGTAGAAGCTCAGACATCAGTCACCAGGGCCTCAGTGATAGTAGATGGCCTCATTAAAGTGGATACTGATTGAGTCGTAGCAGAAATCGCAGACTAGAATGCCCCCTCACTGGGGAGGGAGCATTTTGTGTTCTCTGGTTGTCTGTCAGCATCTCAATGAGGGATGTAGGCTTTGAAAAGTGTCATGCAGAATCCTAATGAGGTGCCAGAGCCCAGGCAGAGGGGCAGGCTCAGGAGGATGATCCTGATGATCTCTTTGGAGTGGTGTATTTGTCAGATTTTAGAAAGCAGGAAGGGAAGGCTTGCGGGATTGGGCTCAGCAGGCCTGTTCACGCACTCACTGGTCCTGCAGTGACTCCATGTATGATGTGGGGAGGGAAAGAAGGGGACATACCCAAGGAGAGAGGGCTGTGGGTGTGCTGGAGGGTACTGGGAACCCTTTGTGTTCTCCCTCACTGCACACAGCTTGCACTGAGCCCAGGGAACAAAAGGACTTGCTTCTGCTGCTTCCCAGAGTTTACCTTCCACTCTGGGAATCTGATGGTGAATACTTTCTTTAGTCATTTGACACCAATATCCCACTTTTTTCCGAAGCAGTAATGCCCCACTTGAGACCATTCCATGTCTAGAGAGTAGTAGTATGTTCACTCTCTGCACAGTAATCTAGAGACATAAGTCTGCTCCCAGCTACTCTGTGTGGGTTAGTGATGGCTGCCCCATCCTACAAGCTGCTCAGCTTGGGGTCATGGCTAGGTTTTGTTTATGCCCGTAAATCTTTCCTTTTCTGCTTACCCTTCCCTCCCACTCGCCTTGCTTGTTCTTCCCCTAGGGTGACAGGACAGCGTGCAGTTTGCATCTCCTAATTGACTGCCCTCAATGCATAATGCATTTTTTATTTTAATGAATCACCAGTTTGCTTTGATGACTTTTTTTTCGTTATTTGTCTTCCTCCCATTGAAATTTCCGTGGTGGAAAGGAAGGAGGGAAAACAGCCCTTTCCCCTCATGTATTGCTTAGGTGCTGATCTCCGTTATCTTTTTTCCCAGTCCTTGCCTTTTATGTGGACTGTTTTTCCCCTTTGCGTGCGTCGTGGGGAGGAGTCAAATCTCCTTTGCCTGCCTCTTGCTTCAACTCTTTTTTTCAGGGTTGCTTTGAAATGTGGAAAGCAGCCAGTTGTTAATCTCCCCAGTGACGGGCTGCTAAGGAGAGGAGTGCAGGTCAGGAGAGAGTACAGGCTCACCAGCACAGTGTTCCTCCCTTTTACAAAAGGTGATTCCCTGCTCCAGGAGCATCGACTCAGTCTGACCTGCCCGCTGTCTTCCTGCGTGATGTCGGGTGTCCTTGCTGCACGCCAGCCCCCTGGTTCTGCTTGGCTCAGTGGGCTTTTTTCCTGATTCTAGGCTTGTGTATATAAACTGAACGTTTTCTGTGACGCGCGGGCCTGGTTTAATTTGCTGAGCTGAATGAGTATTTCAGGTAGTACAAGGAGATGAGAACAAAGGAAGTAAAACCATTCACCGGAGGGGCAGAAAGGGCTACAATAGGGAAGGCAGTGTTGGTGGGTTCAGCCTACAAACACAGTTTGGTCCTCGCTGCCTGCCAGGCTGACTGTAGCTAGTCTTCTCTGCTTTGTGGTTTGCTGAGGGCTGCGGTGCAGAGGAGCCAGGAGAGCACCAGCCCTCACCTGGAAACACAGGGGAGTCAGGGGGGCTTATTTGGGCTTTTGAGTCTGTTTCCGTTCAACCTGATCTGCTACATTCTCTTGCTGCCTCCTTCCCAGCTTTCTACTTTTGTGTTTTACTTTTTTACTTCTTTTGATGGACTATCTGCAGGTATCCACTTTGCCAATCCTATAATAACCAAATAAATGCATGGAGGGAAAGGGTATCTGAGTAGCAGTGTACCTTCTGACTCAGAATGTGAGTGGTGGAGAATCTTCCACCCCTTAGGACCTTGGAGCAGGTGTCATATTTGCTCACTGCTAATCCTTCTTCACCACTATCCTCTTGGCTTAAATAGGGAACCTGTTTAAGGTTCTACAGGGGATGGTCCCTTGGGAAAATAGGAAAATGAATGCTTTGAGGTGAAGGATGTGCCACTATTATGTGCCAGAAGGAAGGGAGTAATAACCTTTCTAGTCTTATTAACAGAGCAGCTGTATGGACTGCATGGGGTTTGGTGGTTTGTTTGTTGTTTTTTTTTTTTCAGCTAAGGCTGGATGCAAATGACTTTAGAGCTTGTATTGTCTTTCCCTGCCAGAAGTAAAGGCTTGTGTTTCCAGCTAATTCAGTCCATACTTGTAAAGCAGGAATTAATGAAACTGCAAAAAATTGCACAGTTCATTTGAGAGGTGGTGGATCCTTTCTTGACTGGTGCTCTTTGCAGGACATTGTTTTAGGGCAGTTGAGACCAACCCAAGTGGTGGTGGCTGCCATTCTGCCTTGCCCATGGCCATGCAGTCCCACCCTCTCTAAAATGTTCACACTGGTGTTTGTGTGATCTCTTGATGGCATGGAGGAACAGAGCTGCCTAAAAATGAAGCCTTTTTGAGTTTTGGGTCGCTCCACTGGCTGAGTGGCTTAGTGTCTGGTCTCATCAGCAGCACCAGTCCAGACACAAGAGGGCTGACAGGCAGTTCCTTCTGGGGTCAAGTATGCTAGAGCAGACGTTGGATCAGCTTATGCTACTGTGCACCTTTTCACTTGCCCTGGAGAGAAGAGGCTGCTTTGGCAAGATGCTCTACCATGTTTCTAAATGTGGTTTTTAAACTGCAGTCAGGGGACTGGGTGTCATTGCCTTAGGCTCATGTTTAACTTGGAAAAGACCAAGTGTGCTAGGGAAGGGAAGGACAAAGGACATTTTCAAGGGAGCAGAAGTGCAAACTAAAGCCTTTGAAAAGCTGGGAGCTAAGCTTAGACACAGGCATCCATGCACAGCTTGAGGCCTGGTGCCTACTGCTTCTGGAGGCTTTGGGCAGATGTTGGCAACAGAGCACTCAAAAATAATCTTGGATGCTTCACACTCTGTCTTACAGCTGGAGTCAGAGAGCTCCTGGTGACAGGAGCTTTGGAAAGAAAAAAGAAAGGCCATTAAAATGCTCAAAGAGCAGCCAGTTTAGCTCCCCAGGCAGAGCATCCCTTTCTTCTGCAATGCTGGTCTTGCAACACGCGCACAGGCACACAAGGAATCACTTTCTTCCTACGCTCTGCAGAAAGCCACACCACCTCTTCCTCGGTGACATGTGCCAATACCCATCTCCTGCTTTTACCCTCCTCCTCCTGCACTACACATGTCCTTCCTGGGGCTCTCACCCACGCACGCTGCAGGCCTCTGCTGTCACCACATCGGATGAGCTCTTTCCTTGGCACACAAGTGAGGAGACGGCCTTTTGTACAGCTGTGGTTCTGGATGAGTGGATGTTTAAATTCTCCTTTTTGTGATATCTCTCAGACGAGCTGGTCTTCTGCCACGCTTTCTGGAGTTAAACAGTACGTGACAGCAGCAGGATTTCTCATATGCAAACGGCACAGAAACACTGTAGGATGAATAGATAAGCATACAGGTAGTCGTGACATTGGTAGCAGAGGAGGGGGAGATGCTCACTGACAGAGGTAAGAGGAGGAGGACAGCAATAAGCAAGCCAAAGAGGATATCCAAGCACTGAAAGATGTACGGGGTGGTGGGTGGGAGAAGAAGCAGGTGATAACTTGCAAAGGAAAGCAGGGCCTAGAAGGGAGACTGGAGATTTATACTACACTGGTACAGGAGCTTTGCAAGAGCCACCGAAGGTAACATTCAGCCCAGGCCCTGTTTGAGAGATTAGAGATGGCCCTAATTCACTCCATTATGATACAAAATAGGCAGTTTTTCCCAGGCCTCCAAGAACATCTTTCTATAGCTGAGCTGAGCTCCTGTGCTGGATACCTGACAGTCTTGGGGCTGTCTGTGGAAGAGAGGGGGTCACTCTACCACTGTACTGCCACTCTGATCCTAAGCTTATGTTTTCTTGGATGTTTATTTGGTGTTTCTGTAGTCCATATGTCATTTCAGGATGTTTTAGGAAACTTTTAGCAGCTTCAGTAACCTTAGCAAACAGAGTAACTTTGGAAAAAAGGTAGAGAGATGGTTTCCCACACATAGGCTATTGTATGTCATGTACAGCAGGATCACCCAGCCAAAAGACCCCATATTTCAGGAGACCCTGTTTAACAGGAGGCCACCAAAGGAATAGCTGTTGCTGACCCTAGGTGGCAGGAGTTGACCAAGGTGGGCTTTGGTTCCCAAACTGCTAGAGAAGGCCTGTGGAGCTGAGGTGGCACAGGTTCCTGACAAGCACAAGTCCTGCTGAGGGGGCTGCTGGCTCCCCCAGGGTGGGGTAGGATAGGCTGACTCATGTCGGGAGGTCTGGAAAGGTGCCCTGCACTTTCTCTCTGTGGGGTTTGGCAGGGATCTGGTAAGCCAGTTGGGAAATCCTTTTATTGTTTCCCCTTTAACCCTCCCAGCAAGATGAATCATTTGCAACAAAGGATGTGACCCTTTGCTGGAAGCACTTCTCCTCTGCTCCACTGATGCTGAGCAGCCTGGGGCATGCCTGTTGTGCCCAGCCCTAACGAGAAGCTGGTAGTTAGTTGTAATATCAAGCTCCACGCCCCTGTGAGGAGAGATTTCCTGACTTGATCCACGAATGTTTTCTCCTGTCCTCTCCTTCCCAGATACCTGGTTGCTTTTGTGGCAGTTTACCTCTGCTGCTTCCTGAAGGGAGGACTTTCCAACTAGCTCATGAGGAAGAAGATATGAAGAATGAAAGGTCTGGGAAGCTCAGTATTTTGCTCTGAGTGGCTGACTGGATTGCATCCTTTTCACCTCTTTACTTCTGTTCCAGTCAAGCTTAGGATATACAACCTTGTGTTCTTCCCACCTAGCTCTCTTTCTGAGAGATCATGTTGCCAAAGACTTTTTGCTGCCTCATGGTAGCACCGTCTCATATCAGTCAGGGTATTTTGTACCCAGGAGTGCTAGCCAAAATAAACTCAGGCAAATGAGAGGTACTTCAGTTCCATATGGGAAGTATGAAGGCTGTTGAATCACACCCCTGTTTTGGCATCATATGGCTGAGCTTTCTGCTTGGGTTTTGGGGAGATGTGGAACAGAGAACATGGCTGCTTAGCGGAAGTCTGCTTACATGGTGACAGCCAAGGACTGTGCAGCAGCAGGTTAGGTGCAAATTCAGAAGGCAGGAGAAGGGGTGGCCTGGTTGAACCAGGCAGGCTGTGTGGGAGGTCTGTAGCCTTGCTGCAGGGGACACTGATGGGCTCTTGTCTTCTTACGTTGTAGAGGCCTGACACAAAGGTTTCCAGTTACTGGTGCCTCTGTGTGGGCTTCCCCTTCACTTGAGGACATGCTTGTCTTCAAAATGCTCTGGTCTAGATGATGATACTAGAATGCTGCCAAAAACAGGCGGCTGATCTAGGGCTGAGCAGTAGTCCTTCACAGTCCTCCAACAGCTCTCATCGGGCTGTGCCCTGCATTGCCTGCCAAGAAACATATTGCTGGCCATGTTGTTGGCCTGTCTCTGCCATCAGAGACATCTTCCCAGGATGGAGTGCTGAGTCTGTGCTCTGGAAGAGCTCTCAGCCGGGTGCTGGGCTGGGGTCTTGGCTGATCTCAAACTCTGCCAGTGCCTAGCAGAAGGGGACAGAAGGCCAGGTCAGGACAGTGCCGTGTCCCTGCCATGTAGGGAAGGGACAGTGCTACATCCTGCTGGGTAGCAGAGATGAGCGAGCTGTGAGAACATCTTTACACCTACAAACAATGAGCAGAGGTTGAGCTGGCAACAAGCAGCTATTCTCATTACCCTGGCAGAGCTGAGCTGATTTGCAGTGTAATTAACATGCATCAGATCTAGAAACCTGAGACCAGGGTTTTGGCTTGCTCAGAAAAACTTTCCCTGCTTCATTCTTGCTCCCAAATGAAATTCTTTGCAGCTGTGGAGAGTGTTTTTGCTACAGACAACATACCTCCTCCTTTTCATTTATTTATTTTTAAAGCTCAGTGGTTTTAGTTTCCTACCTGGGGTTTGTTCGCCTGGCAGGAGAGGGAGGCATGCACAAGTGCACATCAGCAGCAGAGACATTAATGCAGGCAGGCGTTCTCTCCAAAACCACTGAGGAGAAGCCAGGAGGATCACACCCACCTAAAAATAAACATTAACATATGTACAAGCCTTTCTGAGACTGAATCACTGCTGGATACCAGATCTGCACAGACTCCTGCCCAGAGATGGTGCAACAGTCTGCTAGGGAGAAGCCTTGCTGCCTGGCACTATGGCAAAGGTGCAGCTTTTGCTGCTGCTCACAGATTTCCAGGACTTTTGGATACTGGAAGGCAGCCCCAAGATGAGATGCTGACACTGCTGTGTGTGCTTAATAGCTAGCTGTGGTGCCAGTGCAGCTGCAGACAGGAAAACTCAGGCTCTTCGTCCATGTCAGGAAGTTTAGGGTGCTGCAGGACAGAGTGTGGGAACAAGAATTATGTCTGCAAGGGCATTTCTCTGCCTTATGTTCCTTGCCACGATGCCTGCTGGGCTCGGGACTGATGTGGTTTGTTTTCGTTTGGAGAGCCAAGATGGGAAGAACGGTAGGCGGAAGGAGAGGCAGCGTGGGGTTTTGCACTCCCACGCCCTCTGCAGTAAATGTGTTCAGGGCTTGTTAAGTCACGCAGCAAACAGAACCCACGGGGCATAACCTGAGAAACTGGGGCATCGATTCTGGCTTGGACGTCCTGACCTTGCTCAGGTGAAGCGCTTTTCTGTCGCGTGCTGCTGCGTGGCTGAGCACAGCTGCCTCTTGGAAACAGACGGTTTTCGTGCACGCGTTTCCCAGCGTGGGGATCGCAGAGATGCTGCAGGTCGGGAGCGAGTCGTACCAGCAAGTCCCCAGCATGGGCCTGGAGAAGGCCGACCGTGAGACAGCAGGGGGAGGTGTTGGTCAGCGCTGGACAGGGCTGGCAGATCTCTCCTGTCCCCAGCCACTGTGCTGTCTAGGCATGCATGGTGCTTGTGACACGCCACTCATCGGCATCAGGGGAGCATCCTCTTAGCTGGAATAGTGAGGAAATGGCACAGGTCAGGGAAAAAGTACCTTAGCATGCCTTTGTGGAGAAGCTGATGGTTCCTGCTTGTACCGACTGTGAAGCAAGACAGCACTGACAGTTACATATATTGATGGGAATAAAATTGCCCAAAGACGAACACCCTTGACTTCTATTTGAAAATCAGTGGAAGATACCTATTCCAAATGTGCACTGAGTGTCCTGTTGATTCTGATATAAGAGCAGAAGGCCTGAGCATAGAGCAGAGCCTGGAACTCCTGGTTTGGTCACTGGTAACAGCACACAGCCATCTGTCTGGCTGCCAGTGCTCCAGCCCTTTTGTCTTTCAACTTGAAGTTTGCATAAGGGAAAGCGATGGCTCTGCCTACCAAAGTGTGCCTCTTGTTTAGGAGGTTGTAAAGCTCCCTGGAACTGTAAGCAGGAATAAAGGCATCAGGGTTGTGCAGGTTCTTTGCATCTCCTAGGTTTGGGGAGTGTTTATATGACATATAAAAGAGATTTAAATAGGCATGGGGTGGGGGCATATCCAGATGTTCCTATTTAAACAATTTAAACACAGGCTGATAAGGGACTACTGAGAAGTTTGCTAGATGCACATTTTGTTCAGGAATTGTCCCTTAACAGCACTTGTAATAAAGAAGCAGCAATGGCATTCAGCTGTTGATGTTGATGAGCTACTGTTGTGAATGGGGAGTGGAGGTGTTTGCCGAGGTGTTCACTCCCCTTTCTCCCTGGGGGTAGCTCGAGCTGAATTCAGTGGCCGAGAAAAGTGACTCGTGAGAAAAGTGGTGTTTGCTGCTCTCTGCTGGTTTGTGGGGCGATGATGTGCTGTCAGTGATTCTGGCCCTTGGGTGCACAGAAGCTGGGCAATGACTCACAGTGAATTACACTCGGGCTCAGGAACATGCGATGGAGAGAAGCCTGAAGTCTGACCCAGAACCAGGTAATAAAGGAGATGCATGGCCATTTCTGCCCCTGGGAGAGAGGGCAGCAGCAGGGAGCAGAGCTTACAGCAAGAAACATTTAATAGCCTTTTTTCTGAATTGGCTCTGGTAGGAGTCACATCTAAGGAGTGTGTTGCCTCAGTGCTAAACCTGGGGCTTGAATTGCACTAACTAAAACATTTTTTCTGGTTTTTCACCAGCACCGGCAGCTGCTGAAGGACAGTTTCATGGTGGAGCTGGTTGAGGGGGCTCGCAAGCTACGTCATGTATTTCTTTTTACTGATCTGTTCCTGTGTGCCAAGCTCAAGAAGCAGATTGGAGGGTGAGGTTTTCCTTCTGGACTGTGTGCTGTGTCAGCAGAACCCTGGGTTTAGCCAGCAACTTTCGTTGAATATGAATACCCCAGTCCTGGGTAACCATAATGCACAGATGTAGTTAGACAGGGAGTGATCACCAAGGTGGTACTGTCTATTATATGAGACCTTGGCCAAGTCCTGATCCCTCAGGAAAAGTTAATTCCTCCCACCCCTGCCCCAAGCCTTCCTAGGAAAATAGGATGTGCTGTAGCTGCTGGTGTTCTGGCCAAATGCCATTTGTTTTTCTACTTCCCCTTTCTGAAGAATCGGTGACATTCTTCACTTTCTTTTGTTACTAAGGTTATTAATTTTGGCTTTGCAACTACAGTCAGTTAAGAGTTTTGCAGAAAAATGGAAAAGTTACAATAAACAGACTATGTGTCAACCCCAAAGTGCAGCTATACAAATAGGTTTGTTGACATTTTTCATGAATGAGGGGGGAGGAACCTTTACCAACATAACTGCCTCAAACAGAGCTCCTCTTCATTTGGTAAATGTTCTGCTCGGAGAGACCTCTCTCCTGTTCTTGCCCTCCTCAAGCAAAAAGGTGTCCTTGTCCCTTGTGAAACACATACTTGTGAGGAATGATTCTTCAAAAGAGTGGGCCATTTCCAAGAGTGGATGTTCCTGACAGTAGAGCTGTAACAGAAATAAATCACATGAAACATTAAAAAAGTGAATTGGTTGTCCCAGTGAAATCACTGGAGGATGGCAGTTACGAGCTGTAGTTTCTCTCTTCTGATTGGATTACACAGCAGTGTATACATATTGGCTCACCTGCCCCTCTTGGCCCACCTAGCTCAGGCAGCAGAGACCTGAGTTTAGATCGTAGGTAGCAGCCAGGTCAGAGGCATGGCATGGCTTTGGAACTTTGCTTCTACGGAGGCTTCAAAGGGAGAGCACGCAGGACTGAAAGGGTTTGCAAAAGATTATTGTGGTTTCTTAGGATGAAAAGAACTAGGTAACAGAACAAGTTGCCTTGTTACGTGCTGTACTGGCTATTGGCCCTTCTAGGCTTCCTTGCTGGAAAGCAGCCCTTTACCTTTTTCCACATGGGAGTCACGGTGAAGCTGTGCCCATTTCTGTATCTTATGCCCTATAGCGGGAAAGGACTTGTGGGAAAGGGGAGCAGGTGTTGCCAAACACTGGTAATGGTAAAAGGTTTGGATCTTCTGTCTTTCAGAAAAAGCCAGCAATATGACTGCAAATGGTACATCCCACTCACTGACCTTAGTTTCCAAATGGTGGATGAGTCTGAGGCAGTGCCCAATATCCCACTGGTACCTGATGAGGAACTGGATGCCATGAAGATCAAGATATCGCAGATAAAGAACGATATCCAGCGTGAAAAGGTAAAAGGGGTTGAGCACTCCACGACAAGCACAGACTCAGTGTCTCTGCTGAGATGAGGTGCTGATAGAAGCAGCATTCCCAGAGCTGCCCAGCGCAGGGAGTCACGCTAAAACAGCTGAGGCTTGTGGTGCAGCTCTGTTATCAGTGATATCCAGATGCTCTGCAGCCCATCATTGCTCGTCCTAGTGAACAGCATGAATGACGGTGTCCTGTGAGGAGGCAGAAACAAAAAGACCCTGTAGTTGTACCCAGTAGCTCCTCTACATGGAACTGCCTGTGACTGATAGCCCTGAACATCCACGTGGAGGGCCGGGTTCTTATGCTGTGAACACAAGAAGCACTGGGAGTGTGGCATGCCAATTTCTGGCTGTTAAAATATGTTCCTGCAAGTGATTTTGGTCAGAAGCCATCTATTTCTGAATTTTAGCAGGCTCAGTTATGCTTTTGAAGCTTTTTCTGACTTCACCCGTGCCAAAGCACCAGCAAATATATGGAGAACACCAATTATGCTGACTGGACAGTCTGATACAAATACAGTGTCTCTGGCCCAGGCTTCTTTTTGCTTGCAAGACATGTTTTCTCAGAGGTGTTAGACTCCAAACCTTCCTGGAACCCAAAAGAGAAATAAGATTTTGAAAACTGAAAGCCTGCTGGTACGTAGAACAGAATACAATTAATGTTGCTTGTACCATGAGAAGGTTATCTCCTGCATGTTCAAAGAACATGCTTCTGCCTCTCTGCCCTGGACAGCTTTCAGAGAAGGCTTCCTGGAAAAAGTAATTAATATATTAGGAGAAATACCATGTGGAAGTCTCTTACTCACAGGGTGCAGGTGTCTAGACACGTGCTTTGGTGCGTCAGTGCCAAACACAATATACGTGGCTGGGTATGAGCCAAGTCTGAGTGTAGAGACACTGCAGGTAACATCTTCCTGAGCAGCTGGGAGCCCTGTAGATCCTGTTGACAGCGTTTCTCCTGCTTGAGGCTGTTTGGCTGCTCACAGAGGGAAGGGACTGTGGATCTTAAAATGCCTGTCAATGTAGATGGGGGCAGACGTCAAAGAATGACATGTGTCCTCTATCTCCCTCTTTTCCCCACCCTTCAGAGGGCCAATAAAGGCAGCAAGGTCATTGAGAGGTTGAAAAAGAAGCTCTCAGAGCAGGAATCCCTCCTCCTGCTGATGTCTCCCAACATGGCCTTCCGCGTACACAATCGCAATGGCAAGGTGAGTGGCTCTTCTGGTTTCCCTCATTGTACAAGACAGAGGTCAAGAGGGAAGTGTGTGTGTGTGTGTATACGCTGTTGCACAAGGAGGTCTTCATGCCCTCTACTGTCTGGCCTGAAAGCACTTTCCAAGCAGCAGACACCTAACCCTTGCTACACCAAAGGTTACGATGACATCTTGTAAGGCTGTGACTAATTTGTATGCTAAATGCAAATTTGGCATTTAAAACATAATGCTAGAAACTAATCCCCTACCTCTCAGCGCCGGCCCTGGGAGAGCAATAGGAACAGCTCCCTTCGCCTAAGATAAAGCTCTGCAGCAGCTGCCTTCTGGACTCCCCTTCAAGTTCAAGGCTTAGCACACTCAGGGCTGTCTCCTCAGGGCTGTAGGCTGCGCCTGGCACCAGGGTTGCTGAATGGTTGTGAACAATCTCCTCTGGCACTGTGGGATGCTCCATGTGCCAGAGGTGTCCCTGCTCTGGCAGTGCTGTAACCTGTCACTGTGGCCTTTCCATGCACGTGGCGAAGAATTCTCTCAAGATCCTGTTACTGCTCAGTGAAAATCCACAAGCTGGTCACTGCTTCCTCAGCTGGCATGGGTATCGAGGCCTGTGCTGGAGGCTTTTGGGTTTCCTGGTGCAACTGTTGTGAGGAATAACACGGAGCTGCCGTGGGACCTCCTGCTGCCAGGGACGCAGCTGCTGTTCGCAGGGTGGAGCTCTGTGAAAGCTCTGGCTGTCGGAGTCCGCGTTGGTACCGCTGGCATGTTGCTGAGAAGGCACACTGCCAGGGTCCTGCCTGTCGCTGACAAAGCTGTGATGTAGGGCAACTGGCAGGAGTCCTAGAGGGACAGTATATCCAACAGTTTCCGCTGGAGGAGGGTGGGAGGCAGGCAGGCAGGCTGGCCTGTGCTCGGTGGTCGGTCAGACTAACGCATACCCCGTTTTCTTCTGTTTTCGTGGGTAGAGTTACACGTTTCTCATTTCATCGGACTATGAAAGAGCAGAGTGGAGGGAGAACATCCGGGAGCAGCAGAAGAAATGTGAGTGTCTCAGCTGGGCATTGGTACAAATACTGTGATCTTATTAGAGAGCTGGAGCCCAGAGGATGAGGTGTGGGGCAGGGTTCCCTGCCAAAAGGGATGTGCGTTGAAATCCACAGCACAACGTCGATGTCTTCTGTCTCTGCACATCTGAGCCTGTCTGGGGGATTTTGCTTGCAGCAACGTGTAGGGTAGGAGAGCGCTTAGTAAGCGTGTGGAGAGATTGTCCCGTTTACCCTAAAGTCAGAGCTCTGTGCGATTCCAGGTAGAGGGAACAGCTGCACCCTTTTACCTGGCTCCAGTCCAAAGAAACTTACTTACTTTTTTTGGCATGTGTGTTTTTTTGGCTTTGCAAGGAAATGAGAGTCCCCCTTGTTTCCTGTAAACCATCCTAAGGGTTTTTACTCAGAAGAGTAACTAAATACGCCCTCAGTAGAGCTGGGCTGCAGCAGCAGTACAGACCTGAGCACCACGGTACCGTTGCTGAGCATTGCCCAGAGAGCAGCTATCCCATGTATGCCCAGAATGAGGGAACATGCATCCAGCCTCTGCTTTGAATTTTAATTCCTCCCTCTTTGAATCTCCTTGACAGGCTTCAAAAGCTTCTCACTCACATCAGTGGAGCTCCAGATGCTGACAAACTCCTGCGTGAAGCTCCAGACAGTCCACAACATTCCCCTCACTATCAATAAGGAAGGTGAGACCCTTGGTTTATGCCTTCACATAGTACAGCTGCAGTGAAAACCTACCTCCGCCTGCCTTTGTGCTCCTTCCCTAGAACTGCTCTGACTGTTTCTTTTCACTACAGGCTTCAACCTGGTGATGAGTTACAAACTGAGGGTTCCTGTAAAACAAAAGCTGAGACCAGTTTGAGTTACAAACTGAGGGTTCCTGTAAAACAAAGCTGAGTCCATATGCACCCAACTGGTGTAGTTTAGTTGAACTAAATGATAGCGTACAAAAAGAGAGCAGCTGGAACAAGAACAATCCAGCATCCCAACATTACTTGCTGCAACAATAAAAATACGAGCTCCAAATTATATGGCTACATTTAAATTAGTAAAATATCCCTGGACATCCTCCAATATATATCCATTGACTATTAAATAGTCTTTACATGCAGCCATCATGCCAGAGATTGGAGTGCCTGTTGGGAGTCCTAGCCTGGGACAACTTTCAACTACGCTTGGGAAGTCTTTGGAAGAACACCAGTTGTCCAGAATTGTGTCAGAGACCATCCTAAATTACTATTTAATCTGCTAGTATAGACTTAGCTTCTATATTTTACTTTTTCTCCTTTGAGTTTCTTCCATGCTGTCTTGCTGACTCTAGAAATGTCATTGTAAAAGCCACACGTTGCCAGAAGGCATGGCAGGTAAAACTGACACTGAACCTGGAAGAGTCTCCTCTTTTGCTGAAATGGCTGATTATGTATGGCTCCTGACGTCCTTTTTAGGGACAGCTTAATTACCCTCTGCTCATTAACCTGTGTAACATCAGCCTCATCGCGCTGTCTTTCACTCTTGGCGTCTCTGTGAACGTAACAAAATTCCTTGCGTCTTTTGTACAGATGATGAATCCCCAGGTCTCTATGGATTCCTGAATGTCATTGTCCACTCTGCCACAGGATTCAAGCAAAGTTCAAGTGAGTTGTAGTTCTGTAATACACAGAGGTACTAATAGGGGTTAGATAATTCAGGTGCTGTGAGAGCTGGACGTGGGCTGGTTTAGGATTGCGGCATCTGGGATGATGATGAGCAGATGTGATTTGGGGAACTGGAAGTAAAGTTGCGACATTGGTGTAAATTTAGTGGAATGTAATTTTTTTGATGCTACTATTAACTCTCAGAAAGAACAAGATCAAGGATCAGGCATGCAGCATTATTCTTAGGCCTAGTCTGTTGGTATCTTTTAAGCAGTGTTTGCCAGTTACCCAACAGTTTGAGATACAAGTCAGCCCTTATTCTGAATTCTTTCGACTGTGTTTTGTTTTGCAATGAAAGCATGAGAAGCATTCTCTGACATCCAGAATTTTTGGTGTGAAGAAAGAGGTGTTAAAGTTCAGGGGAGTGGTTTGACAAACGGGTCAAAACTGGTGAAAAAACAGAGTGAAGACACCTTCTCATTGTGGATTGATTTGGGAAATACTGGATAATAGCAGACACCTGATTCTTGATAGAGGTGAGGGGCTTGTCTGTGCTGAGGTCACTTACACAGCTGTGCTGGTACTTCAGCTTCATAAAAGCAACTCTGCTGGTGCAGAGGCTGAGATGTGTGTTGGATAGTGTGATTGTTACTAATGTGAAGATGGTGCAAATGAAGACATACTCTGAAAGCGATTAGTGCAAGTTAGGAGAGTCTAGAAATTTTTAAAATTTTCTGTCCCTGTCTCCTCAGATTTGTACTGCACATTGGAGGTGGATTCTTTTGGGTATTTCGTGAACAAGGCTAAAACCAGAGTTTACAGGGACACCACGGAGCCCAACTGGAATGAGGTAGGTTGGATTTTTCTTAATGTGACTTGTTCCATGTGCCAAACATCAGTGCATGATGGGCAGAAAACCAGCAAACGGAACAACTTGTTGTGTACTCAGCACTTGTGCTGCATATGCTGCCTCTCAGAAAACGCTTCTACGCCAGGTTCATTTCTTTTAGGCCAGGTTCATTTAGCTGTCAGGGCTTGCAGAAGATTTTCTCTTGGATTAGCTGAAGTTAAACAAACATTTCAGTACAAATGAGTCTTGTCCAGCATTTCATCATTTAAACAGATGCATGTTTGATTATTTTTTTAAAGGCACAAGTGAAAATATGTTGAAGGAGGTGGTTTGTTTATTTTTTGTGAGGGAGAAGAAATAGCTATAAAAGTTTTGCTTATTTACAGCCAACTCAAACCTGCTGGGGAGCAAAATTAAATACAGGGAAGGTGGGCGAGTTTGTTTCTTTGAATGATTCTGAAACTCAGTGAAACCTGACTAAGGAGTCAGCTGTCTTAGTCTCTGATTTGACCACCTTATATATGCAAAATACAATTTCAGTTTATTTCTAGACCAACTCCATTAGGGAAGAGGTTTTGGTCAGGCCTCAGTGCTCCCTCCTGATAAGTTTTAAGGGGACTATATTGATTATTGAGAGTCGTGTCCTGCTGTGATGTCTTCATTGCTCTTTCCTGGTGCCCTGCAGGAGTTTGAGATTGAGCTGGAAGGCTCACAAACTCTGCGGATTCTGTGCTATGAAAAGTGCTACAACAAAACCAAGCTCACCAAAGAGGATGGAGAGAGCACAGATCGCATAATGGGGAAAGGA